TTGTGAACCATAAAACTTTTAGCAAGCCTACCATGTCATCAACGGTCCATGCAAAATTTTCACTGAAATCGTTGAATAGGCCAACTAGCCGTATTTTCCCGAGATAGGGCTGAGCTGATGCAAGTGGTTTGATAAGACTTGTCAAGTAGCAAGATGACTTTCTCAACCTCATTCCCAATCTCTAGCCTCATAGGCTTCTCGGTCTTCTGAGGTCTGAGGGATTCCAAAGTCAATATGGAGGGCCTCCCGCTTCTTGAGATGGAAGGACTGGAGGTTTCTAAGGGCTCCCCCACTTCTTGGTCTTTTTTTAATGTTATTCTTGATGAACCTTAAAACCTGGTCTTTAGATCTTGAAACCACTATTAGAAGGCCCAGATACTTGCCTTGAGTCAATAATGAAATGCCACTAAGTTGCCTGCAAACCTCTTCCTTCACCTCTGTTATGGTATTCTTGCTGAACAAAATTGAGGATTTTTCCAAGTTGATAAGGTGGCTAGATCCTTTCTCATACTAGAGCAAGATGGATTTTAGTTTCTAAGCTTTCTCCTTGCTAGCTTTACAAAACACTCAAGTGTTATCAGCAAAGAACAAGTGAGTAATTGCTGGTCCCTATCTACTGATCCTTAATCCACTTATCTCCTTTTGACTTTCTGCTCTCTTCAAAAGATTAGAGAATCCCTCATAACAGATCAAAAGTAGATATGGTGAAAGTGGGTCTCCCCGTCTCAAACCCCTCTCTATAGTGATATATTCTTTAGGCTTTCCATTGATGTTAAATGAGTGAGATACAAAAGTAATGCATTATATCCCATTTTTTCCATTATAGCTTTCAAAAAGGCCCATTCTACTCTATTTTAAGCTTTAGACATGTCCAGTTTTATAGCCATATAGCTTGTTTTACCTTGCCTTTTATTTTTTAAAGAGTGTTTGGGACAAAAGCGGATTGGTTTCTACTGATGCATCTGTCAAGTGTCGTCTTGAATCTATTGACAAGAATTTTGGATATAATCTTACAGAGAATATTACATAGGCTAATAGGTTTGTAGTTTTTAAGGTCTATAGGATTGGTTGCTTTGGGGATCAAAGAAATGATGGTATGGTTTAAGGACTCAAACATAAAACTAGAATGGGAAAAAATTGATTGCATTAACCACCTTCTCTTTAATTATATTCCAGTACTTTTAAAAGAAGAGAGGTGTCATCCCATCTGGTCCAGGGCCTTATTGGGATTCATTGAAAAAATAGCAGCTTTTATCTCTTCTTCCTTAGTAGGTTTAATAAGATTTTCATTTATCTGTGAGGTAATAGAACAAGGTATTCCTTCTAGCATATCCTCACCATTACTATGGCAGAAGAGGTGAAAAGCTTTTTATAGTAATTAGCAACCTCTCTTCCTATTTCTATGTCATTTTTGGTCCAAGAGCTATCATTATTTGTAGATTCATAATTCTGTTGCTCATTCTCTTGCCTTTCACTACAGCATGGAAATATTGGGTATTTCTTTGCCCTTCCTATAACCACTGAATTCTGGCTTTCTAGCTCCAATATTGTTCTTCTTCTTTATATGTTTCATGAAGCTTAACTTTCAAGGCTGCAATTCTCCCCCTCTTTCGTTCTTCTTCTGATGTTTTCTCTTTATCCAAATCTTCCTTAATTTGCCTGATTTTTTCCTTTGAGTTTTCCTAATATCCATTTCTCTATCTCAGCAGTGCAACTCTGCATTTTTTTCACCTTGCTCACCACCTTGTACATTCTGGACCCTTCACATCTTTCCTCCATGCCCTTTTTATTACTTCCTCTATTCCTTCTTTTTGGATCCATCTCTTGTCAAAGAAAGAATCACTTCTTTTTCCTACCATTGCTCATAGTATCCAATATTAGCATACTGTGAGTAGAAGCCAAACTCTCAGTGTGTATACACTTTGGCTTATCAAACATTGTTGACCTGTCTACACTACTAAGTTCTCTGTCCAGCCTTTGTTTAATTTCCCCATTCTCCCAATTATTACCCCACGTCCTGGGATTCCCTTCGTGCCTATGTCCACCAATTGATTCTCACTAATGAAGTTTTTAAAGTCTTTAAAACTCCATTATTCTCTACTTCTGCCTCCCCTCCCAAATTCTCTTCATTGGAGCATAGATCATTGAAGTCTCCAATTATGATCCATTTGTTCCCCCCACAATTCATTTCTTCTTTTGATCACTACCCACTGGCTCTTTCTAATTTGTTGATCACAACAAGCATATATCCCTATCATCCACCACACTTCTAGATCTTCTAGATCTTCAATCAAGGCTTCTATAGTAAAGGATGTATGAATAAACTTCTTGACATTAATATCATTGTTTCATAGTAGACACATCCCTCCTGTCTTGTTCGTAGCATCCACTACAAAATTTTCCATCAAAATTTAGTATCCTTCTGACCTTCTCCATGTATTTCTCTTTGTTTTTATTTCACTCAAGAAAACTATACTTGGGGAGAGGAGGTTGCAAACCTCCTTCGGATGGGGAATTGTCAAGGGGTTTCCAGCACCTTGACAACTCCACACCACTACTCTCATTGATTGTTGAGGGACCATAGTGGATTGGCCTCTCCTCTTCTTGCTATTCAGTGCTCCTGTTCTGCATTAGTCCTTCTTTCCATTTTTTTCCTTCTGTAAATTACTCATCTACTTCTATCATTTCTTCACCCTTGAGTTGGAATTTTCTTTTCCCTTGACTCAATGCCTCTTCACAATTGTTGTCAATTTCTGTCAAAGGTATTCTACCTCTCTTAGTTTCCTATGCTCTTCTTCTGAATTTCTTCCTAGATTGTTGGAGTTTTTTGTTCACCTTTTCTTTATCTGGTTCGATCTAAATTGCATTGCCTTCATCTTCTCTTTTATTTCCTTTTGACTCTTCTGATTTAGATTCTTCCTAGATCCTGCATTTCATTATTGCTCCAATGGACTATTTCTTTATTAGCATTTTTTACTTCCTATCTCTTTTCCTCTTGCCTTCCATTTAATGTCTCATTCCCTTCCCTTGATCCAGTAAGTTCTTGCCCTTTTATTTTCTCCACTTCCGTTATGGCTTTTGTACTACTTTCTTTTCCCATGTTTGGATCTTTTCCATTGGCCCTCCCTTGACCTTGTCCTTTCCTTTCTGTCCACATCTCCTCATTCGATTCTCTCGACATATTACTTTTTCTTGCCTAAATCTCCTTATTTAAAGCTGATGCGTTCCTTATCAACTCCTTTTCTCTAGCCCTCCAATGTTGTCCATATGGGGTTCAAATATTCTGATGGCTCTTTTTCCAAGGAGAATTTCTTCCAGTTGAAACTCTAAGCCAAGGTCCATACTGGTTTTAATTTTATCCTTTGTATATCCCAACACTTTCTCTGCAACTCTTCTCACTGTGTTCTATTATACCACAACTGTAATAGAAATCTGGGCACTTTTCATATTTGAAATTAGCCTACTTAGTTAATCCATTCATCTAAACCATAGTTCCTCTTAACAGTGGCTACTAATGCCAGCAGTGACCAGAATCTTTATGTGTCTTCCTTCCTTGCCGCCTATCTATGGAGTTATAACATCCTTAACTTCCTAAAACACTGTTCCAATTTTCCTTCCAACTTGCTTAGAGTACCAATGAATTGGTAGCCCCCACACCTTCACCCATGGAGGGGACAAGTTAAATGTAGAGTCATCCTTTTCAATTCCTTCTTCCTACTTACTTAGTACGATGATTTGATTATCAAGGATCCACGGTTCTCCTTTCCAAATTCTCTCTCTCTCTCTCTCTCTCTCTCTCTCCTTTTCCTCTGGTAAGTAAAATTGGAACAGATTTGATACTAACTCTATAACCCTTAACTCCTTTGGATAGCCCTAAGCCATAGTAACAAACTTTTTAATTCTTGTGAAGTTGGCGACTTTTTCCTCCCTTATTTTTCTTATCAAACTTGCCTGACACCCCACCACTCCTGAGTCCATATATCTTGTATCAATATGTGTTCCTCCCATCCTTTTACTGGACAAAGCAAATTTTTGCATTATTTCCACCAGCTTTATGACCATGTCAACAATGAGATATCCAGAGGAAATTAACTTTTCTATTTACCTCAGATAAATAAGATCTAACAAATGTTTTGAAAATCGGACTGGACTGAACCGGCCAGTTCGATCGGTTAAACCGCGGATCGATCGGTTCGATCGATTGAATAGCGAACCGGTCATGCCTTTGGTCCAATTCAATTAAAAATCCAAAGAATTAATTGAACCGATCAAGAGTCGGTTGAACCAATAAAAACCGGGAGGTTCAATCGATTTTTATTAAGTATTTATTTTCTAAAATAAATATTTAGCTTTATTCAAAATTTTTAATATTAAAATAAATAAAAAATTATTAAACCTTTGAATCGAGGTCGAGTCGATTGAACCGGTTGAACTATGAATCGAAAGGTTTTCTGATTCATTCTTCGGTCCGGGATTAAAAACATTGGATCTAACTACTTCTACTAAGGAATAGAGAAAAGGATGCAACTTTACCAAGTTATTGCAATGTCCCAAACAATACAAACCAAGTAAAGGAAGGCTAACACGAAGACTGCTGCTACTACTAGACACGATGAGCAAGGTTAATAGGCTGTAAGGCGATAAACTTACCTGTCTGCAGCAAACACAGAGAAGTCCAAGTTCCCCAGCTCCTCAACCCTCCTTCATCACTTCATTCTTCCCCTTTCCTGCTAGTTAGCTGGTTTTCCCTTCACCCACCCGCAAAATTTGAAGTGTCCTACCCTTTTAGCTGCTTGTTCAGCTTCAGTATTACTCCTCCGATGTTTTGAGTCTGGTTTTGATCTCTGACATTCTGGTATCAATTTTCTACTCTGCACATTGTAGTAAATGGTGTTCTTGCACATTAAATGCAGAGATTGCTCCGAGTTAATGCTATGATTTTGGGTCTGTTGTCATTGGTTTGGAATTTTGAATTTTTGGCAAATTTTGGCGGACCTAACTTTTAGTTGATACAATTACCGCTACGCCCAAGTCCCAACTCGCTCTAATAACAAAAACGATTAGGGAGAATTGGTAGTTTTGGTTTTGGCGGACATTTCCATGCTGACAGTTTCTTCTTCTTTCTTCTTGGCTGGCTGCCTCTGGTGCTGAAGCTTCAGCTCGCTCTGGTCTTTCTTCAACCTCCATAGTCCTAATCTACACAGGCAAGACAATTACTCCTCAATCTATGAACTAAGTATGGGTTTTACTCTTTATGCTTTTTCCAATTCTTAAGCTTCCCACTGCAGAATATGATGATTGTCACCAAAACGATTAGATTCTGATTATTCTTGGCAATTATAGCCTTGATTTTGCTCTTCACATTTTCCATCACTGGTTCAGATTGTTAGTTTAAAGATTGAGATGGATATGTGGGTTGGGGTGGATCAGATACGTAGTCGGACTAAACTTTCCTATCCAGTGATAGAGCCCACGATATTGTTTGGAGAAAAGGAGAGTTTTTGGCTGTCTAATCAGAAAATATGTTATAACAGAAGCTCGTTTTCTCAGAAGATTAGATGTAGTTTTACAGAACAGGGATTGAAACCACGTCCAAAACTTCATAATCCTGTTCCTAAACCTATGAAAAATAAGCAGAGTTGGGGGAATGAACATGCTGAAGTGATGGTGGATGGAAGTTTCAGCTCTGGAATTTGTGGGAAGATAGAGAAATTGGTTTTGCAGGGGAAGTACCATGAAGCTCTTGAATTGTTTGAGATCTTAGAATGCAAATCCATTGAGGATAATCTACTGAATAGCAGTACTTATGATGCTATGGTGCGCGCTTGTATTGGCTTGAAATCTGTTAGGGGAGTCAAACGGGTGTTAAATTGTATGGTTAGCTGTGGGTTTAAGCCAGATCAGTACTTGAGCAACAGGTTGTTGCTGATGCATGTGAAATGTGGTATGATGATAGATGCCCGGAAGTTATTCGATGACATGCCTGAAAGAAACCTGGTTTCATGGAATATGATAATTGGGGGGCTTGTGGACTCTGGGGACTATCTTGAGGCATTTCGGTTGTTCTTCATGATGTGGGAGGAGTTTCCTGATGCAGGGTCGCGCACATTTGCAATGATGATTCGAGCATCTGCTGGTTTGCAGTTAATCTCTCCAGGAAGACAATTACACTCTTTGGCTTTAAAGATGGATGCTACAGATGATATTTATGTGTCTTGTGCTTTGATTGACATGTATAGCAAATGTGGTAACATTGCAAATGCGAGGCGTATTTTTGATGAAATGCCAGAGAAAACTACAGTAGGGTGGAACAGTATTATGGCAGGCTATGCATTACATGGTTATAGCGAGGAAGTTATGAACATGTATTATGAAATGCAAGGTTCGGGTGTAAAGATGGACCATTTCACATTTTCAATCATTATAAGAGCATGTACGAGGTTGGCTTCGCTAGAGCATGCCAAACAAGCTCATGCAGGCCTAGTTCGTCATGGTTTTGGGTTGGACATTGTTGCTAATACTGCGCTTATGGACTTCTATAGCAAATGGGGCCGATTAGAGGATGCAAGAAATGTTTTTGAGAAAATGCCCCGAAAGAACGTTATTTCTTGGAATGCGCTGATAGCTGGATATGGTAATCATGGTCGAGGAATTGAGGCTGTTGAGCTATTTGAGCGAATGATTTCTGAAGGGTTTGTTCCTAATCATGTGACATTTCTTGCTGTTTTATCCGCTTGTAGTTATTCAGGGTTATCAGACCATGGCTGGAAAATATTTGAGTCAATGAGTAAAGTTTACAAAATAAAGCCTCGAGCAATGCACTACGCGTGTATGATTGAGTTGCTAGGTCAAGAAGGACTTCTGGATGAAGCTTTTTCATTAATAAGAGATGCTCCATTTGAGCCAACCTTGAATATGTGGGCTGCCTTGCTTACTGCCTGTAGGGTCCATAAAAATCTTGTGCTTGGGAAATTTGCTGCTGAGAAACTTTATGGGATGGAGCCAGAAAAGCTGAGTAATTACATAGTTCTCTTGAATATCTACAATAACTCTGGAAAGTTGCAGGAAGCAGCTGGCGTTGTACAAACTTTGAAGAAAAAGGGTCTGAGAATGTTTCCTGCATGCACTTGGATAGACATCAAAAAGCAGCCCTATGTTTTCTTCTCTGGAGATAAGTGGCACCACCAAACCAATGAAATCTATGCAAAATTAGACAAAATGATGCAAGAGATCTCTGAACATGGCTATGTTCTCGAAAGCAAGTCGTTTCTTGCTGATGTGGACAATCATGAAGAAGAATTACGACTTCATCATAGTGAAAGGTTGGCAATTTCCTTTGGTCTAATCAACACAGTTGATTTGACACCATTGCATCTTGTCCAGAGCCATAGGATCTGTTGTGATTGTCATAATGCAATCAAATTGATGAGTTTGGTTACAAAACGAGAAATTGTCATCAGGGATGGCAGCAGATTTCATCGATTTAAAAGTGGGACTTGTTCCTGTGGTGATTACTGGTGATGTGATATGTGGATACAAAAACAGTTTAACCTTCTTGTCCTGAGCCGTTGGATCATCATGATGTAATTGATGAGTTTGGTTGCAAGGCAAGAAATTGTAGTGGAGGGATGCCAGAGATTTCGTAGATTAAAAAATGGGACTTTTTCCTGTGGTGTGATTACTGGTGATGCAAGAATTTTTCTACCTTCAACATTCTATGCTCCCCTTTTTTGTCCTCATTTTTCTACACCTTCTGACAAAACAAAGTGTTGCTTCTTACAATATAAACTGTAAGTTAGAATTACAGTAATTTTTGTGCTTGTTTTTGGTTGTATGTTCCAGAGAATAATAATAAGAGAGAGTTTTGATTACAAAATCTTTCTTTGAGTCTGCTATTAGAATTTAGAGAAACATGGAACTTCAGAGCTTCTTTTATGCTCCTTAATGTGTAAATTATGAGTTTGCTTCCTTTCCTTTCCTTTCCTGTAAATTCTTTTCTGTTCTAACTAGTTGGGAAGAAAGGAGAAAGAAATCCTGAATTTGAACTATTCTATCTTTGACATGAGTTTTACGAAATTTCAATTTTGATTGCTTGAATTCATTTTATTCAATATTCCTCAGTTGGATGGTAGGCATAGTGCATCCTCAATTATTGGTAGAACTACTCTTCCTTTTCTATATTATATTAGGATCATGAATTGCTATTTTCCGATAATACTGAGAAGTTTCCAAGTGAGCTAATTTTAGATATATATGTTGTGTACAAAGAGTAAAGGCATGTTATTTGTGATGTATAGGCATTATACTTTAGAAGCAGTGGCGGAGAATGATATATTAAGATCAGAATACTCCTCCATGCTTATATCCTCTGTGTTTTGTAAAATTCCCCTCTACCCTACATAGCCCCTCAACACTATCCTATTCAAAGGGGAAGAACAATTCCATAGAATTAAGAAGCAAATAGAGTAAGATATTTAACCATGTTTATGCTAATCTCATTATTCTATGTAATAATCTTAATTTGTGCTAGCCCCCACTGGCTATGGAACTGCAAATGCAGGTGCCTACAATATATTTGCAGTTCATCTTGTTCTCTTACTGAAAAAATAGATAGAACTTTGTTTTCTCAAATGGTTTCCTGTGTTTGGATGATATCTTAACCCTGTTTCGCACATGATTATGAGTGACTACCATTTGAATAGCAACCAATTCAGTGTATGCATTTTTGTTCAGATGGAATATTGCTGGTTATGTTTCCATAGTAAACATGGTTTAACATTAGTTTGTTGGTTTCCTGAGTTGTACTTGAGATAGGAGTAGACCAATACCTTTTGCTGATTTCTTATTCTTCTTCTCATGATTTTTTGGATTCTCCCTTTTTATCTTTTCTTTTTCTTGGGGTAGGGGGGGGGGAGTGGGTGGACTGGAGAAAGGTGCCAAGGCTGGAACCAGATGCTATTAACATTTCTATTATTAGTTATTCTTTTGCGTGCATCTAGGTTATTTGCTTCCGCATTTAATCTGTCTACTAGCAGAAAATTGTTGTTATAAAAATTTGTTTAACTCTCCCAAGCATTTTCTAGGAATATTTGCCTAGTAGATCTTTATGTGCGGTTGCACACCAAGCAGGGCTGATATATGAAGTGACTTAAACTGGATTGCAGGGGACCTTTAATTACTTTCAGCTGTTAGACCCACAAACTTAATACACAAAAATGTGAATTAGTATGGGTTGTAGGCTTTTCAACATAAATAGGAGAAGCGTGAAAGGAATTCAACCACAATCTTTCGTTGTCAGCCAAGCATGTGCGGTGCTCATGGCTCCCCTTTTTTCGCTCATTTGTCGATGCTGATGATTATTAACGCATTCAATACCATTTGGCTTTCTCCCAATAGTAAAGTAAGTATCCTCTGTACTTCTTCTTTGTTTTTTTTCCCCGCATTTTCCTTCTTTTGTTTTTATTCCCCTCTCTCATCTGCACTATGTTAATGTAGTCTTGTTTGCTGGACAATCTTTACTGGCTGATAATGCCTTTTTTGTCTGTCTATTATTAGTAATAGTATGTATATTATTTGATTTTGTTCGTCCAGGTGTAGGGATACTAGTGATAACCCTTTTTTTTTCCCTTTTGCAGTGCAATTTTTGTATGAACAGCTGGGTTAGAAATTAGTGGACTGAGTGTCTTTGCCATGTCATTAATCTATTACCTTGTGCCCCCTTCTTTTATTCTTTCTCTCATTTTTTTGTGCAACCTCCATGAACTGTGGGTTTTCTCTGTGTTTACAATCATTCTCTATTCAGTAATTTTCCTCAGTGCCTTATTTAGTTCCTCATGCTATTTCCCAGTTATGTCTTTCATTTTATTATGGCCAGAAATTTGTTTTCTGATTTTGCATCTGTTTGAGTTGGCCTGCAGGTGATTTTCCGCTTGCGAGACTAAATTGCTTTATGCAGTGGATCTTCTTTTTTGTTGCGAGGTTTGAAATCAATCTTTGGGTCTTTGGTTTTACCTCTATTCTCGATTTGGTTTATTCTTGATTTTATGATGGTTTATCTATGGTTTTGTAAGACAGAAATGATGGCAATTCTGTTCTTTCTTTTTCATTCTATATGTTTCTGGGTCTGTGTTATTTTCAGCCTTTATTTATTTTTTGAGCTTTCTTTTCCTACTATTTTTTAGTTTGAATGGTTCCTGCTTTTGCGTTGCTCTGTCTATGGTTTTGTATGATATGTCTTCCTTTGTTTCTCTCCCTGTTTTGCTTATTATAATGTTTTCCCCTCCCTGCATATGCTTCTGAGTTTGCATTTTTCTGAGGCTTTTTTTTGCCTCTCTTTGCATCTCCTTTTTTCTTCTTCTTTTCTATATGGAGTTCAAGTCTTGTGATTTTTTTAGAGTTTTATTTGGAATTATTGTAGTGACAGTAAGCTTTCTACAAGAGATCTTTCTTTGTTTCTCTTCCTATGATGCTTATTCAGATTTTTTTCTTTTTGCCTTTATCAGTTTGTGTTTTTGTAACTTGCTTCTATTTTGTTATGTGTTTCTGAGAGTATGTTCTTTTGAGCCTTTATTTTTTTTTAAGCTTTGTTTTCTCCTGTTTTTAGTTTGGCTATTGGTGTATTTTCCCTTCCTGCATATGCTTCTAAGCTTGTGTTCTTCTGACTCTCTCTCTCTCTCTCTCTGCATTTCCCTGTGTTCCTTTTTATTTTTCTTCTTTTCTGGGTGGTTTGCTTATTTTTTTCCTGAGATTTTAGTATCCTGACTTTTCAAAATTCGTCTGAAATTAACGTTGTGATCATAAGTCTTGTACAGGAGATCTTTCTTTGTTTCTCTTCCTATGATACCTATTCAGATGTTTAAGCATTGTTCTCCTTTGGCTGATTTTTGCCTTTTGTTTGTTTGAACTTGTGGTTTTTATAAATTGAGAAGCATAACTTTTGATATTTTTGGTTCTGTTTCTCGATGTTTTGAAGTCACATGGTTGGGGTTTGTCGAAGGGAAGTTGCGTGTGCCTAAGGTGCATAGCTATGCATCTGGATGGACATTGCAGGTTCAATTGATTGAGATGACACATGTTGAGAAGACCTGGTGGCGAGTCACCAAGGAAATTCCGGTGATTTGTTTTTGATGATTTTCAGGTATGGTATGATCCTTGTGTCTTTGTTTTCCCTTTCTTTGTATCTTTCTGTCTTCATAGGTTGTAGCTTATAGTTTTCAGGTTGTTAAAGTTTCTGCACTTGCAAATGATGACAATATTGCTCATTTTGATGGCTTGCTTGTGTCCTTTAAGAAGTACTGCATCTCAAAGTCTATGGTTTATGAAATACCAGATTCTCCTGATGGTGAGACACATCATTTTTTTGGGTTCTAACTGACACGACTGTTATCCAGGAAGTTAAACAGACTGAAACTCCAAATCTACCATACTATTTTGATCTGAGATCATGCAATACCTTTCACTTTGTTGCTAATACAGACAATTTCTTATGTAAAATTCTTGTGGATTTGTGCCTTTTTTTCCTTTTATTTAATTTGCTGAGAGTCTGTGATTTACCTTGTTTGGTTTTGCTGCCCAAAGACGTCATTGGATTTGTCCTCTGTGCCTTGCCTCCAAGAGAGGTTTATCGTGCAGGAGGTCCAACAGTTGCAAGAGACTACATCATTGTTGACTATGAGCATGTTGAATGTGTGTCTTGCTTGAGTTGCTTGATTAAGTTCTGATATGTTTCTCTAATTGTCATACTTGATTGTGTTTTCATCTAATTAAAGTTCAATTCCTTTTCTGTTTGCTTCTCCTGGTTGATGTTCATCTTCTGCTACATTACGAGAAAAAAACTGGTAAATATATTTTTTTTTTAAAAAAACCTGGTAAGATTGGATGATAGCAGAGAAAATTATTTGTGCCTGATTTGATTGAGATTTCATGATGTAAGGATTGGTTCTCTGTAGTTTAATAATTTTCTGCAGTAATTGCAACTACAAGGTGAAATGGAAACTGGAGAGTACGGTGAGGCGCACATGAAACCTTCAGTGATTAAACCTTTGGCATTCTGATCTGTAAAATGCTAATATCATTATAATTAAACTATGTCCTTGTTTCTGTCACTTAATCAAACAGATGGATAGCATGGCAGAGGATGATAGGAATCGAATTGGGTGGGTTTCAGGCGAAGACACTGAAGGCGAGGGCAACACCATTGTTGGCTTTGAACAAATGATGATGGAGATTGCTCACATTCATTAGAAGATTAATCGCTTTACTCAGCTGGTAGTTTTGCTCTACCTTGTCTTTTCGTGAAAAGATCAGTTGAGGGGAAAAGTGAAATGTGGAGAGTCCAAAATTTCAAAAGAACCAGAAAAATATATAAAGGAAAACAGTCCTATTTGCTTAGGCATGGTGTAATTCTAAAAGTAAAAGTTTGAAAGATCAACTTCCTTGATTGCAAGTAATTATGGTGGGCCTGGTTTCAGTTTGTCTGAATATAAATGCTGTGCTGGATTTCATTTTTACTTGATGAAGGTGTCTGAGCTGCTGGAATCAGGGAAGTTAATGCTGAAGGATCTTAGTCATGAATTTGAAGAAAGATTAATTGTGTGCGTCATTGGAAAAGTAGGTATTAGGTTTTCAAGATCAGGTTGGTGTAATTTTTATTTTTATTTATTTATTTTTGGCTGAAGCATGTATGTCTACAGAATCCACAAGGAACATATATGGATAAGTGGGAGGAGGAGATTCAGGAACTGTGGTTGCTTGGTGCCTCAAATAAGGAGACCATTGCTGTTTAGCCCAATGCTAGATGTCTACTTCACAATTTTCCTGGTCAATCTTGAAGGTAAACTCTGGCATCATTTTATCTGCAGAGAGGAACACATTAATTGGCTGAAATTAATAGCTTATTGCTAACATTGGCATCTTTTGAGCTGCAAAATTACAATTGAGACCTTAAAAAGTGTTTGAGGTTGTTGGCTGCAACATAATGGTTTTGGTATCAACATACAGAAGAATGTTAATTTGGCGCTGTTTCTTCTTGTCATTTTTCTCTTTTTAACAGATACAGCTGATATCAAAATTGAATGATGTATTCTGACTTGTGGAACTGATGAATCTACAGAGGGTGAAAGTTTTGTAAATTAGCTTTGTTGTTTTCTGATACTCGTGAATAGCTCTTATCTTCTGTTTTGGGGTTTTAATCTAGAGTTGAAGAGTGTTACGTTCAGTTTTTAGGCAGCAGAATCTAGATTCATTATGAGGCTTCATATTTGATTTGATCAATGTACGTGGCAATGCTAATTATGTCCCAATTTTGCTTCAATCATTTGCTAAGGTATTAAACATCTACTCTGAGGTTCCAAAATCTTTTCACATGCTAATTCAGAACATTTGTCCTTGATGCTTCTTGTCACTGAAAAGATACAGAACTTTTGTTAATTTAGTTATTGTATTTTTACTTTTGCATGAGTTCATTTTTTCCATATCTTTTAGATGGAAATTGAAGAAAGTTTAACCTGTATACTGCAGCTAGGTGGCATCAACAGGCTTCATTTAGTTTTTGAGCATTAGGATGCTGGTTTCGTCATTCTATGTGGCAGGTTGGGGACATTGGTTCTGCATTTACGGGGTTTGGTTATAGAGATATGAGGTTGTATGTAAAACCATTGAGAACAGCTTTTGATCGGCCTTGGCACCACTGAAATCAAGCTGATAGAGTTGACAGCTTGCAGCCTGTGCTCCAGTTTCACTTTTTACTCTGAATTCCAGTAAATAAAGGTCATGAATTTTGTATCTAAGAGGTCTAATAGGTTTGTGGCATTCTTCATTCTCAGTGCTTTGAGCATTTACTTGCAATTAGTGATCAAGTGCTCTATATAATGGTATTGAAAGATTGGAAGACAGCACTATTGTTGCATTTGTCTCCTTATTGATTATGTTGAATTGATGCTAAGCTGTGTGCTAGTTTTTTACCACTTATAAGAGGAGATTGCTGTCCTCTGCCTAGGCTTACTGGTAGGAGATATTTTGATAAGGCCAGCCATCCAGACTATGGAGTCTCCGGTTGTTGTTGCTTTGGAGAATTTCGAGACTTTGTTTGGGATTGTTTTGAAGTTGTGCAGACATGCCAGAGTGCAACGATTTTTTTAATTGGAAAAGAAAATATAGTTGGTTTGACGCTGGGATATGTGATGTAGAAAAGAATAGCGCAAACAAGTATAATATTTGGATGACAGCTGGGATAGATTAATCTTCAAATGATTGGGCGAAGCTTTCTGTCTGACCCTGATTTAAGAAAAATACATGCTTGTGACAAAAGCTGCTTTAATGTTTGTATCTGGTTCGGAATGCTTTTCTACAATGACTTGCATTAATAACAAATATATATATATATATATATATATATATATATACTATAGATAAAGATGTACATACATAGGAACGTGAATAGGGGAGTGCCTCCATATTTTACAGTTAACTGGACATGTACTGTTTAGTTACTACTGCACATCACGCGGTTTATGCCTCCTAGTATAGCATCATAGAGCATGATTATATAGGTTAGAGTGCCTTCTCGTATTTGTGAGTGGTAAGTTCAAACCATCTGAACAACACTACCATTCTTCTTTTAAGGAGATATTAACTATCAAAAATAGGATTAAAAAGTTCTCTTTTTATCTTATTTCTCACAATTTTCTAATTGAGATGGATATGTCCAGCTTCCCAAAGATGTTGCAGTTCAAGCAAAAAATTGTACCAAATCCTCAGCTTCTTAGATAACCAAATTGGTTTTCCCAATACACCTTTGAAGTCAAACATATAAAAGGGAAATCCAACATTGTTGCAAGTTTCTTTTCAAGACCACCATCTAAACCAACCAGTTTTCTGATTTACTCCAGATGCCCTTCCTTATCCACCTGATCTCTTTTCTATACCTATCCCATGACAAAAGGAGGATTTAGAGAGAAATAGAATCAATCATGAGATTGAAGTCTTCAAATCTTATGGAGGTTCAATTCTCAATCCTCATGAAGTAAATCCTCAATACCTATTTGGACAAATGTTCATTGCTCAAAATGGAAATTATACTGAGCCTCTTCTATGGTTTTTCTGGTATCTGTGCTTACAATTCCATATTCTCATGGAATTCCAGTGTTCTTTCTTTGCACAAACTCAATCCCTTCAATGATATGAACATGGGATCCATGGTGTCAAATTCGAATGATGATTTAAGACGTATGAGTGGTTGATCTATTGGAGCTCTACAAATCCATTCCTTCCTTGGTTTTAGAGTATTTATTTAAGTTGCAATTGTTATTTCGTTGTTGGTGTCGTTTGTCATTAATTTTCAGCAATGATTGGTTAAGTTAAGGTCATGTTGAGTCATTACTTTAATGATAAATGGTTAGGTCATGTGGACCAATAGTTAAGCCATAAGTCAAGGTTGAGTTAGGTTTAGTTAAGAAGTTTCCTAATCTAGTTAGATTCCTTTTGAATCTTTGTAAAGGCTATAAAAGAGCTTTTGTGATACCCCGAATTTTAGGACAATGTTTTCCCTCGTTCTTTAAAATTTCGATTTATTTCTTTTGTTTGTTTTAATAAAAAAATATTTTTTTATTGAACACTTTAAATTTAAATCAAAACCCTAGTTTTAATTGTGACTAAAAGGTTAGTATGTAATTGAGTTTATGTATGACAATGCATATTTTATTATAGGTAATTATAGTGATTGGATGATTAGTGGAGTAATTGAGGTGTAATTAGGTTTTTGGAATATATCAAGTATGTAAATTGTAGAGTAAATTGGTAGGATTGTGAATTTAATTGGGCCATAGTGTGACTTTTGGTTAATTACAAGTTGCTAGGCTTCCTAAAGGTTCCATGAGATTCCTAAGCTTAATTGTGATTGGCCAATCAAAAAGGTAATGGACTTTGACCAAGGGACTTAGTATTAATCTACTTAGCAAGACAAAAGCCAAAAGAAACAAGCAAAGTTTCGGCTAGCTTGTGGGAGAAATGAAGAAAGGAAAAAACGAGAGACATAAGAGAAAGAACAAGAGAAAAATTATGGTTGTGTGCAACTCATCCAACCAGCTTGGGAGTTAGAGCAAAAGAAAGCTAAGGAACTTGGTTCTTGAAGTGCAACCTTGTGAACCAACCTTTGGAAGGTAAAGCAGCCTTGAACTCTTGTAAAAGCTTGTAGCAATTGAGTAGAAATGTTAATTTTGATGTTGTAAGATGCTAATAAGGGTTAATGATGGTTTATATATCACTTTTGTGGGTTTGTATGGAAGATTTGGTGATTTTTATGGTGGTTTGAGAAAATTCCAGCAAGTGATACAAATTTCCAGTTTTGATGCTTTAAATTTCTGTTATGATGGATATGGTGCATGTTCTTGAGTTAGGGTTGAGGTTTTCAACTGTATTTCTTGTTGGTTAGATGGTATATGATGTATATAAGTTGGTATAAGAGGTGGTAGTGATGATTTCAAGCTAAAAATGAGATTTATACCTTGATTGTAGCAAATTTCCACGCGGTTCTAATTCACCATGTTAGAGGCCGAATTTGGCTTAACCTAAAACATGAAAGTTGTAGAAAATGATGTTTTATAGTTGCTTGCAAAATTTCAGCTCAATCAGAGCAGAGTATCTTGTGAAATGACAAAATTGCCCCTGCTGCCCCGTTTCTGTCAAAAATGATAATCAGCCTCTGTAAGTGGTTAGTTTGACCAGGAATATTACCGAATTGGTTATTGATGTCTTCTTAAGAATTATAGCCTTGTATCTTAGCTTTCAAATAGCTTTGGAATTACCTGAATTGAAGTTGTGCGTGCTGAGATATGAGTGAATGAATCAGGACTGCTAGTTGAATTTCACAGTGAGCTTCGAACTGGAAAATCTGGAGTTGTTTTGGTAAATTTGACCTAGTTAGGGTGAGAACTGGACTAAGTAATCTTCATCAAAGTTATAGCTATCTGTCTTAGCTTCGAAACGGTATAAATTGCAGCTCAATCCGATAAGCGTAGCCTCAGTTGTGTCCGTTACGCAAAACAACGTTAAATCTGTCTTTTGTTTCTTGACACAAACTCCATTTCCGCACATGTTCCTAGCTTGATTTTGTACTTGTATAACTTTGAGCCTATGGAATGGCTATTGAAATGGAGATTTTAAAGTTTTACAAGTGAGCATAAGTTTTACAAATAGTTTACTTATGTCCTTTGGTTTCAATGTACTCTTTTCACTACCAAAATCAAATTTATATTTTGCACTAGTACGTATTCGAATTTTCTTGGAATCACTTAAATCTTTGATAGTTGAAACATAATGTGTTCTTTTGATTATATTAGGGTTTATCGGTGATTGACGGTATTATCCGGCAAGATATTTTGGATATTATTTTGCGTAAATAGGTGAGTGTTCCTTGTTTGTTATATTTTCATTGACTATATGGCTTGTTCTTGACTACATGGCTTGTGGTGGATGTATGATTGCATGTTCCATGTTATCAATGACTGTTAAAACGAATTTTACTAGGTGAGTGTGTACTTTATCGCACTCAACTTAAATAAATGTGAAATTTTCGATGATTAAATGATTAAATGCTAGTTGCGCATGAATGTAAGCCGTTTGGCTGAACTGGGCCCTTGCCCTTTGTTACCTATTGACTCGAGCCAGAAGCGGACTCGGTCGGGCAATTTGGTGACCCTGAGTGAACGTTTGGTATACTCGAGTATTACCTTGTAGTCTGGAGGAGTCTGGCCAACGTCCAGGAGGGGGTGAAATGAAATGAACGAATATTTGTCAATGAAATGGGGGATTTTACTTACAAAAATGCATTTTCAAATGATTGGAGGAATAAGGGAAATGTTAGGAGAATGAATGAACGAACGAATGAATAGCTCCCTGTGAGCCCGTATCCTTTCAATGAATGTGTTATTATCGCTTTCCATTGTAAATGTTTCTTGAATTATTGATACTCTATGTTTAATGTATTGAATTGATTGTTTGTTTATGTATTCGGAACCTCACTGAGTTTTTATCTCATTCCTTTAGTTTTGTTTTCCTTAAAAGGGGAAGGCGAGCAAGGACGAGAGCTCGGTTGAGACTAGCCTAGACTAGTTTCTGATTTTGTAATGGTTCTCGCCCTACCTTTTGGCACAGGCTGGATGTATGAAGAATTGAGAATTTTTGTACATTTGATTTTGTAATTCCTTTTGAGATAGAAATGTCTATAAGTATATGTTCTAAGTTTGGAATTGTTATACTTTGCCTTGTGGTTTTGTTTCGGTTTTATCTGAGGTGAATGAGTTTTGAGTTTAAGTTTTGGATTATGGTTATACGAATTCTTGTGATTTTATTTCGGAATTGATTGAGATATGACTGAGTCCCGGCAAGAGTTGGGCAGGCGACCGGCCGAACCCTTTGGTACGCCTTAGGGGGAGATGGGGCCGTCACAGCTTTAAAGTCCAACATTTTTTGGGAGGTGAATTAGGAAAGAAAATTTCTAGCAAACACTTTGTGTTAGCAACATCTCTTGTCCAAGAGATCCAACTTGACTACTTGAGAGGATTCTTGAGTTTTTCAATTGACTTATCAATTCAAGATCATGTTAAATTGTGGCGTCATTCTACCATTCTATTCAATCTCAAGCAGTCCTTGATTGTCTAGAATCCATCCAATTTATCCGTAACCTGATCCAGATAGATCCTTCCGTTGCCTGATCGATTTGGTTCTTCAAGAGAGGTTCTTGCTGGGTCGAGATTGCATCATTTAATCAAATCTCAAAATCTTCTCGCAATGGTTTAAACCTCTTTCTTTTTGGACTGATCTATTTTCACAACATTCAGGGTATTTGAGTATCCATTTTTATAGACCAGTTCATGTTCAAGGATAGGAAATCCAAGCCCTACCATGGATCACAGTTTACAGACAACTTTCTCACACCATCATTGATTAAGAACAAGAATATGCTAAAGCACAAA